CCCAAACTTACAGTAAGCTAAGACACCCTTTAAAATCACTATTGTTCATGAATGCAACTTTGGACATCTCTCTATATAGGTACACCAAAACCGCACTACCCCACGATAACGCACCATATGTGTCCAAGTCCCCGATAAGTGGTAACTACCTAGCATTTTCACAACATTTTAAGTTACCAAAATAAGCTAATTCAATAGGCATAATTATAAATACTGATAAAAATGATACATGGCATGCACTTTATCTTTACTCGAATCTGGAAATAATATTGAACCAATCATGTGCATAATGTATGCACGAGCATATTGTTCAATCAATATTGGTGGCGCATCAAAAGGCAACGGCCCCGAGAAGGTCTCTTTTAGCCACTTCAATTTAATGTTTCCTCCAGGCATGACTCTGGAGCTACACCTAACAACTCCGCACACTTGTCCGGCCAAAAATGTCTATTACTGCCGGTAACGCAAGGACCATCTATACGGAGACCAAGTATCATAGCTACATCATGTAGCGTAATGGTAGACTCTCCCATTTGGAAGTGGAAAGTATTGATCTCTGGCCTCCACCTATCTATCAAAGCGGTTAGTAGGGACCAATCGAGCCTATCCAACGAAGCCGCGAACATGTCAAGAAGTCGGCCCGTCCTACAGCTGCTATTATGCACTCATCCTCTAGATGCCAATGGCTATGGCTGAGGCTATGATCAACCATAACAATATATGAGCTTCTTTGTAAAGCAAATGAATATATAAGAATGCAATATTATAAGAATTCAATATTGAAAATATAAGAAACTTAGTTACCTCTGTAAAAGATATAACATGTGAACGGTGTTGAGGCTGGTCATATAGGACCTCATCACTAACCGGTCTAGGCTGCATGGTGTATATATACCTGCACATATAATTATAACATATCAATAACCAACCCATGAATAATAACTACAGTTTCTATATTAAAATCACAATTTGAATATGTCAATTATTACCAATTAATTGCTATCTGTTGGGTCTAGCTGGACAACGCGGTCGAGTATGTCCCGGTTATTTGCAAAGACTATATTTTTTATGCTTGACAATTCCTTCTCATCCTTGATTCATGGTTCCCCTAATTCGCACAGATCGTGGTCGACCTGCTTGTCTCTTGTATTAAGGTGGAATTAGTCGTGGTCCAGTATATTCGGGTCAATACCGACTATCATCGGGTGGATGAAAACTCTTAATGTATGTCTTTCGGTAATGAATTGTTGAATACCATGGTGAACAATACTAATTATATGGAATTCTCGCACCACCAGGCTGATTAGAAGACACCGCAAGAACATGTGCACAAGGTATTTTTTAAAGTTGTGGTATGTTACATGTGCAAGTGCAATCAACATCAAACATTTTAACGGTGTAGATACTGTCATAATCTTGTACCTACCATTCATTGTCATTGAACACAATAATTTGACATAATCTTGCCGCCTCAATTCTTCTATGCAAAATAGACTCATTTTTGGGTGTGTAACGCGTTGTCCAGTCTACGCCATCCTCACGCCTTTTGTTGAAGTATGAGTTTAGCCTATAGAACATTCTTGCAACCAATGATTGTATTGGCATAGCTCGTGCTCCTTTAAGAATGTCGTTAAAGCTCTCGGAGCAATTAGTTGTTATCATGCAAAACCACACACCCTCATCCTTACATAATGCTCATCGATGCTCAAATTGAGGCTTCAAGTTATGTACAATCTAATTATGTGCATCTAATAACAAAGACTTGATTTTCTCTCTACAATGTTCATACACTAATGTATCGGTTGCACACCCAGCTTGCCACAAAAGATTTTGTAAATTAATCTCGTCATGTTTTTTCTTAAAATTATCTCTTATATGCCTCAAACAATATCGATGGTGATGTGGTGCACCAAAACCCTTAAAATTATCTCTTATATGCCTCAAACAATATCGATGGTGATGTGGTGCACCAAAACCCTCATGTAATGTCCTTATAATTCCTTTCATCCTATCCAAGATGAAAGTAATTAATCTAGGCGCACAGACACTAGGAATCCACTTGTATATAAAAGTTCAAAGAACCACTTCCAACTAGAAATATCCTCTACCTCCACAAGTGCAAATGCTAGAGGAAATAAACAGCCATTTGCATCTACACTGGTCGCCACAAGAAGCACGCCTTTGTACTTGCCATATAGATGTATACCGTCAATGCTCAATAACGGACGACAAAAAGTGAAGCCTTTAATAGCAGGACCAAATGCCCAAAATACTCGAGTGAACCTCTCAATCCCCGGTGCAATCTCTTCAGATAATATTTTATATTCAGTACCCGGATTATTTTGCTTGATAGCTTCAAGATACTATGGAAGTAATTCAGAAGATTTTTCCCAATCTCCAAATATTTAGACAACGCTTTCCTCCTTGCATCATATGCCTTATATTTAGATATCTTAATGCCCCGCATATCATATACCCTTTGAAATATCTGACCTGCATTTAGATCAAGTTCAACTCTAACTTCAGGCATAATTAGCTTATATATATAAGAGGAAGATGCAGAATAATTATCGACATCCACCGACGGATTGCAACATGTATGAAGCCCGCAATATCTAGATATTACAAATTGCCCATTTGATGATTTCCTCACAGCGGCATTTAGCAACCAAGGGCATTTCTTGTTTCTCTCATCTTGCTCATTTGCATGCTCTACTTCATTCTTCTCGTTGAAATAACATTTTACATAGTAGTTGGTTGCATTAGTTTTTACAGGCTTGAATTTGACCCGATTTTTGATAGATCATTCTCGGACCGCAAAGATCAATGCTTCCTTACACTCGAATAGGTCCCCTTTTTAAAAGTGAAGTCCTCAGGCCGTTGAAAATTTGGACCAACATTAACAAATTCAGCTTGCGAAGTATTTATCCAATCTTCATTATGAAACTCGTCGGGCAACAGATTTTCAGCTTCCACATAATTATTGTTAACATTAAATTGCTCCATCCAACGAGAATCATCATCAATTCTAACTTCCACATGCATGCTATCAATTTGCACACCTTCTTCTTCAATATCTTCTGAGTCATCATTTACTTCTTCTTCTTCTACAATTGATCCGTCCGATAGATCACCCGTAATATAGCCCGATGCGTCGTTAAATATAGTAGACGTCCTACCAAGAGAATGCCCACTTAAATATTGTAGTTGAAACCACGGCTCTTGACTTAGAGATTTCATAAAACCACTCGACTAATTGTCTAAGTCCAGCATCCGAGAAAACTCTCCTTGAGGTCGTAAAACTTGAGCAAATTATTGAATCGGATACTTCTCAATGAACAACTCAACCGACACTTGCTTCTCCACTAACTGTTTCATGTCATTCAATTCCTCATCGTCGGTAATCGCCACAGCAATAATTCTGCTCTCATTTATCGGACAATTGAAGAACACTTTAATTGCATATCATGCTTTATTAATTTTCGTAACTTTGTGTATTTCATTCATCATTCCATCAAAATTGAATGACTTAGATAGCATAAACATTTTCCTAGAACCTCCCTCATTCATCGACATACTATTCAATCCGACGCCAAGGCTCCCATTGATGAAGCAAATAATGGGTATAGAGTTTTTCATCGAAACTGAAAATCAACAGTCTATCATATGTAAATAATCTATTATAACTGGAAATATTAATCTTAATTTAAAATCAAATTTAAAACCCTAATCTCAACTGCAAAGCAAATAATGGCTAAATTCTCTAATCCTAAATCACATTATTCATGTCTAAACCCTAATCATGGTTAAACCTTAATCCCAAATCTCAAATGAACCCTAATCCCAAATCTCAACTGAACCCTAATCCCAAATCCCAAATCTCAAATCCCAACTAAAACCCTAATCCCAACTAAATACATTATCAAATCCCAACTAAAACCCTAATCCCAACTGAACCGAACTCTAATTCCCTAATCTCAACCCTAATCCAAAATCTCAATTAAATCCATTCCCAAATCTAAACCATAATCTCAAATCTTAACTAAAAAGAAAATTTCATGGCTAAACAAAATTAACAACAACAAAAAAACACCATTACCTTGGTCGGCCGCGACGGTGGTCGGAGCGTGCTTGGTCGGCGGCGGGGGTCGGCGGCGTTGAGACATAAATAGGGTTGAGGAGTTTGACGGGGTGAAAGAAATGGGGTTGAATGGGTTTGGGTGAAAGAAATGGGGTTGAGGAGTCACGGGTGAAAATGAGGGAATCCATTGCACGGGACTGTTAGTCCCGTGCAATTCAAAGCAGGGTCGAAATACACGGGACTAGCAGTCCCGTGTATTTCGTTAAAATTCCCCGCTAGCAAAACCGACCCTTTTCAAAAGAAAATGATCGGTTTTGCTGAATAATTTTATAAATGGTCGATTTTGCTGATAAAAATGATAAAAAGGTTGATTTTGAAAATTTGTCCTATCTGGATTTGATGTTTATTATTTTAAGTTTTGATATGCAAGGGAGTTTTGCGTAAATTTGAACTTTCGAGAATACATTGTACAACTTTTGAAACTTTTTTGGTTTTTCTATTGTTGTAATATTTCATGTATTTTATTAATCTTATTTTTTAAAATTGTTGAGCTACAGATAATTCACGTGGGATTAAGACATGATATAATTATGATTATGATATATCATGATTTAAATAAAATATTTAAAATAACAAAGTTAAAGAAAGCTTTTCCAGAACCCGTGTTTTAAAGGAAGTATGATAACTGTATATGTGTCACTATATGAAAAAATTTCTGGTCCATCTTGCTAAGATTGAACCTAGTTAACGTACAATTACATCTCTGATAGTAATTATAGTCAGCTTCAGGATGGAAGCTACAAATGCACCTCTTATTGCCTACCTTCATGTAACTTGCATATATTATCTTTCAACAGCTTTACCTTCAGGCTCTAAGTCTCGGAATTGCGATAAAACTCTATTGTTTCAACAAATATCATATAAGAAAACCTTCTTTAATTCAGTAGCTGAAGCAGGTAATTGATTTAATGTCAATGTACAAACCATGCATAAAAATAGAAGGGATCAATCCTTCCATTATGCACAACATACTATAATGCTCATCCGGGTGAAAATAGTATAACTTACATTATTTCATTTCATTACTTACATTTATACAATAACATGCTACAAAGCTATGTGACAGCGGCACCAAATGGATGTCATAATTTGTGTAAAATAACGTGAGCACCATACTGAGGATGAAGCGTAATCACAGTGTAAGGAGCATGAGAGTAGGAAGGTGAAAGCTCAAACTCAAAATGTTGAAGAATCATGCTCAAACCCATCTTAGCTTCGAGCATCGCAAAGCTCTGCCCTATACAAACTCGAGGACCCCAACCAAAAGGAAAGAAGGCCACTTGATCTTTTGATGCCTTTGAGACTCCTCCTGCAAATCTCTCGGGGTTGAATTCATGGGCGTCTTCACCCCAGTATATAGGGTCGTGGTGGATGAAGATAATAGGTAGTATGAACGATACTCCTTCTGGGTACGTGATCCCTCCTAGTTTCATTGTTTTGTAGGTCCTTCGGGTGAGGATAATTGCTGGTGAATACAACCTGAGAACCTCATTCAAAATCATCGTCACCTGCCATAGGCATTTAAAATAATTTTAGAGGGCACATATGGATAACTTGCTAAATCTCATTATGTGATAAAAATGCTATATTTCAATGCAGGGTTTTTTCTTTCTTTCGATATTAGCCCTTTAAATCTTTTCAAAATTTGAACTAGTCCCTCAAATCATTAAATTGTTGTTAGATCCCCCAATTCTCATAAGTTGTTTCAAATCAATCCCTTTTATTGCTAGTTCTTCTCTTTATTGTTGGAGGGACCAATTGCAGAACAATTTGAGAATCTGCAACCTAATAGCAAATTCAATGATTTGAGGAACTAATTTCAAAATAATAAAGATTTAAGGGACTAATATAAAAAATCTTAAAATTAAGGGGTAGCTTCCACAAAACCCCATAATGTTTTGCACAAAACAATTTAGGAAATGCCATAAATATTTCAATGGTCAAACTGATCAATTGTTTTGGAACTACCAAAGGTGAAGGGCATTTGAATGCTAGTTGCTATGTAGGGATCTCCTTGCAGAGTTCCCCGTCAGAATTATTTTAGTTTAGGTTGAGAAGGAATTGCTACTAAAAGAGAGATAAATATCACCTTGCAGAATCTCCAATAGAATATCTTTAATTAGAGTTTGAAGGAATTGGTACTATGAGAAATTTAACTATTCAACACAATTTAAGACTTCTGGTAAATGATTCCATTGTCTTGCTTGTAAATGGAGGCCATGTAATGCCCAGTTAAGCATCTACCGATATATTCTGGTTTGGATATATCTGGTTTGGATGGAGGAAGAAAGATCCGACAAGAAAGAATCCGGTGGGGACGGCGCATGGCATTAATTGTGCACTCAAAGGATGTCATCATTTGGGTGCACTTGATGCTTTTCCGGATCTGACACTCCCTTAATTCTTAAAACAAAACGCAATATTATTTATTTCTTTGCTTTTTTGGTGTACCATGAGATATAATCATTAAATAAGCAAAAAGCTGCACTGCCATAGACTCTAACATTGTTCCATATTTAGAAGTTACAAGCAAGTATATTCAAATTAATATTAGGATCAAGAGAACCGTGTGATTTGTATTATTCAAAGCAAGTAACATAGTAAATGAAATACTCACGATCTTCAAGCGACTCAAGCCATCAATGTCTGGCTTATTTTTTCCAAAGACTTCTAGGACCTCTTCTCTTGCACGGACTTGCCAGCTTGGATGCATGCTCAATAATACCATTGTCCATGTCAGTAACACTGACGTGGTCTCGCTCCCTGCAAAATAAAACAGCTTACATTCTTCAAGAACCTCTTCAGTACTCATCCTCAAATTGGTGGATTTTCCATGATCTTGATTTAAATTAGACTCCAAAAGCAGGCCCAGCAGGTCATTCGTATTACAATCTCCCTTCTCTATAGCCCTTTCTCTCTTTTCGATTATAAGTCTTAAAAGTCTTCTAACCTCCCTATCAATTGCTTTTGCTCTCCTGTTATTCCGAGTGGGAAGAAACCTGCACCACAGAAAATGCCAAGAAATGTGATATGTGAATTAGACTTCTAGCTATTCTGTTGTTTTTATTTTTTTGGTCAAGTGATGGATGAGATCAGAGCATCTATATGAAAAACAAGACATGCTTGGTATCAGATCGTTTCATTACATAATTGAAACAAAAAGGAGCAACATTATTTGCAATGAAATTTATTGTGTTCTTACAGTAGACGAGGGATTGAGAAATCATGTATACTCCACTATGTTGCAAGCCACATGCTAAGGTCTAACAGTTACGGACATGAATACAACATGGACACGGAATTACAAGCACACTACTAATCTAATAAATCACAGTTGCCAGATATTGTAAAATATGCTTGTAGGTTATATAAATCAAGTTACCCAACCAATCCTTGTCACTTTTACAAGTGTTTTCCATCCATTAAGTTTGTTTCAAATGTGAATTGGTCTAGCAGAGACATGAAGATGAGATTTACTCACACATAGGAAAGAGCATAAAGTGATATATGGTTGTATATTTTGAATCATTACTCAATTAGGGTTAATTCTTTTAAGTTAAATTTGTTATTGGAACCCAAAAGTTGACATCCTCTATTACAGTACTGGGCAAATGACAAACATGCATCTATATATTAATTCGAACCATACACTTCATGCTAATCTAGTCAGCCACATGCGCTTGACGTGTCCCAAAATTCATTTTACAGTTTAAGATGCGTTGAAGGAGCATTGGAAAAGTACCTAATAAATCTCCGCACATCCAATATATATCAGGTATAGGTATCTCTCCACCAAGGACTACCAATACAACATAAAATCAAGAATACAATATAAAACTGCTTTAAACTACCTTAAAGTGAGACATTATGATCTTACTACCCCTTGTTGTGTTTCAGCCTTCCTTTACCTCAGAACTCTACCCTTTCACATCCATCTCTAATATCTCACCACTATTTATTGAAAACCTGCATCTATTTTTTCTGAAGGCAACGTCATCTCATAAAAAAACTGGGTATTGGGACAGATTCTTGATATTTAATGGCGCTTTAATCTACTTTTTTCACTTCTTATAATTACCACCTGTAGAATTTTGGTATTGAAGATGGCGATGGCGCTTTAATCTACTTTTTTCACTTCTTATAATTACCACCTGTAGAATTTTGGTATTGAAGATGGCTTGCATTGAAACATATAGAAGACTAACTTCTTATAATTACCACCTGTAGAATTTTGGTATTGAAGATGGCTTGCATTGAAACATATAGAAGACTAAAATCGACGTGGGACTAACGTTGTGTTGAGAAGTGTCTTAGATCAGTTATCAACTCCAAGAAAAAAAGGACGAGTCAAAACAAGTTACAGATCAGCGAAAGATAGATCAGACAGTCAATAGATGGTGTCTTAAAATGTCTAATTTTGTCTGGTTGATAATAGCATAATCCCAGGCTTATGTGCGTCTAATATTCTCTGGAAATTCAGGACACCACCTTAGTGTGATAGGCGCCTAGCTGGACATTGATTATTTTAGGGAACTGTTTTGATTTGGAAATCCTATTCATATCAGATTTGTTTATAGTTTTGTGAGGGCCCTTACTAAGGCAACTAGCTACAAATATAGAGATTCCCAAAAGGTTGAAGAAAGAAGAAGGCCAAAGGGAAGAGGCAAAAAAGTCAAACCGTCAAGGTTAAGAAGATGAAGAAAAAGAAGAAAAAAGAAAAGATTATTCTTCTGAGCATTTACAAGAAACCAGAGAGATTACTCTTATCTCTGTGCCTCAAGAGAGAAATTAATGTATCTTCTTCTTCAATCTAAAAAAGATCTCTCCTCTTCTCTCGTGGATGCAGTCACATTGCCGAACCATGTAAAATATCATTTTGTTGTGGTTGTTCATTTGTTCTTTATTTTTCACCATAAGGTTATCTGTAAATCCTAAAAGTTAAAAGTCTAGGACATAAACCCTAAAAATTAGTACTATAGCAATATCGAGCAACAGATTCCTAACATTTGGGGATAAACCTGAATTGCATTTCTTCATCGCCGTTGAATGTTAAACCTTTTCTCTGCTTATTTTCATTCTGGAGGTCTTTTGTTCATAGCCCCTGGTTTATTCTGAATTTTAGTTTCTGTATATTCTATTCCAAACTGATTTTCAGGCTTTAGAAGTTAAGTTTGCATGATACATCAAGTTAATGGCAAACAATTACTTACATTTGTCCTCCAGTTCTGATTTTAGTTAGAACCCTATGAGTAGACTGCATCAACTAACACAAGGTATTACACCAAACCATCATCTTACAGACAACTAGTATAATTGTGTAATTACCACAAGATTTCAACTAAAGGATCATCTATTTTTTATTCAAACAGCACTGAATTGGAACATGTTAATTGTTAAGTGTTAGATTAAGTCTATTGGGTATTGGGTTAATGGGCTGTGACCCATTAACCATACCCCTATTTGTATGACTATATATATATATATATATA